GGCCCCTGGCTTGCCTGTCTCTGGCCCCCAAGGCTCAGGGCTCCATCCCAGCCTTGAGGACCCCACCCTGGCTCTTCAGCCCCCCCCCCCCCCAACTCGGTGGGGGCCTTTGGCTGCTTCTACAACACCACGAGCAAGTCCCTGCGCGAGAGACCAGGCTGGATTCTTGGCAAAGTCCACAGAGATGGAACCATCTTCTGGAAGGGACGCCTGCACCAGCCCACGCCCTGGTGCCACGCTGGAGAGCCACGGCGCTCTCTTAAAACAAAGGAGAAGAAACCTTTCCTGGCCGCTGCCCGCCGAAAGCTCTAAGGAGCCATCTCAGCACATCCGACGCCATCAACGCATCCATTAAGCGCTCGGTTCACAGCTCTGCGGTTCCATTGTCTGTCGTCAGCAAGCCTAATACGGAGCACTATGCCGCCAGGCTCCTGGGGAAAATATGACAGGAAGATCTATGGGGATTGATCTAATTTCCTCTGCATCAAGGCTAGGAGCAGTAAAGTGGAGGGCAGCTTGGAAAAGCAACCCGGGGGATGGGGAGAAAGATGATGCGGTAAAGTAAACTCTGTTATCAAATAAGCAAATGGACGGAGAAGTTAATTCCCTGACCTTTAGCCAGATGCTATTTGCAGGAGGTCTGGAGTCCTCCGCCTGCAGGACACCCTAGAAGTGTCTCTGCTTTCAAAGATGAGGGGTGACCCCATTAGCAGAGCCCTCTGGGGGGACGCCATCCACAGGCAGGTCTTTATGGGGAGCTGATTGTGGGAACAGCCTTGTACCAAACAGCAGCAGAAGGAAGGGCAGAGGAAATTTGCCCGAACCCGTGGAGCTTGCAAGATCACGATGGTTATTTGAGATGGCGGAGGTCTCCGAGACCTTCCCAAAGGGCATCATGTCCATTGGTCACTGAAATTCTGCAAACGGGAGGAAGAACGTGTCCACTCTGCAAGTGATCCAGAGTGACATTTCCTTACGGAGCTTTAAATCACGAAATGCTCATTAATACCTGTGCTGCATCACGTCTTAGAAGGGTGTTCGCTTTGCTAAGGATTTGATAGTGGAGTAAGGGCACCCGGTGAACTCAAGGAAGCAGAAATGCAGATATTGGCCAGCTGTTTCCGAGAGGGGCTTAATATTTTAGGGCAGGGCTACTCCACTTTGGAAGCCCCGGGGGCCACAATGATACTCACAGCACATGCCGAGGGCCACAACTTAAGTGTAATTGTATATACATGCAAATATATATGCAAATATATGCAAATTATTTCACACTGATGGGCATGAATACAAAGATTAAGGCAAGACTGCCCAACACGCAGGCTCCATTGAAGTCAGTTCTGCGGATATTAGCAAAATGCAAAATTTACCCAATTTCCACCCATATGTCATCACTGTTATGAGCAATGACAGTCCAGGAATTTAACTACTAAAATGCATCTCAACGGAAGACCATTCTATTGACTGTTTTTTGTAGGGTTGCCAAATGGTTTCAACAAAAATACCGCACACACTTGACATTACATCATAGTTAGAAAATACTGGACATTTCTATTTTCTCATTTCTATTTTCTCAATTTGTTTCCCGGGCAGAAAGCTCAAATATTGGACTGTCTGGTTCAAAACCGGACACCTGGCCACCCTACTTTTGTGTTTCGGTTCCCACCCGCAGGCTGCGTGTTGAGTAGCCCCATTTTAGACTAAAGAAGAAGCCTGTTTTGCTCTGCCCGAGTCACACCGACGAAGCGTGCGCGCACTACCCGAATACTGCCCCATGAATCGGCGATCGGAGGAATTTAGCCTCTGGAGCTGTTGATAGAATATGCAAGCATCTTGCCATCTCCTTGAATGCGCTCACCCTCAGCAGGACTGGGAGGGGGGGGCGATATTTATTCTTTAGGGTGCACCACCCTTCCTCTAAGATACCATCTTCAGTCGCTTGGAACTTGGCCAAACGTCACCTAGTGCGGCTGGAATTTTTGGCCTACTTTTTTTTTTTCCTTGAGGGTTCTGGCCAAACTGTTTTTCCATTTTCGAGATGGAGGCTGTGCTACTTTGCCTTAGTAAAGAAAAAATCCTGGTGCCCCTTTTGTCTTTAACAAGCTCCAGCCCCGCCCAGGTTTCCAAGCGGGGCCGGGGGGGGGGGTCTGGGTCAGGGACGCGCCTTTTGCCACCCCCAGCCAAATCTGCTCCCATTTGGCCAAGTGATACGCACTAGACTCACTGCCGTTTGCACATGCTCAGTAGAGAGCGCCTAGATTTTAGCCTCCACTCTGTGCTCACTGGGCACACTCCAGTCCAGGACTTGCCTTGCTATTGCCTGGAGGAGGAAGCCTGCAGAGAGAACAAGTCAGACTTCCCAGAGCGGGGGAGGGGATTGGGCCAAGGAGCGTGGGGGATGGGGTACAAAACCGATTAGAAACTGTTGGGATGGAGGGGGGAGGGGCTGGACGTCGGGAACTGGGACAGGCGGGGCAAGGAGACAGGGATGAGCCAGATAAGAAAAATGAGAGTGGGACAAGGAGCCGGTGGTGTGGAAGAGCCAGAACGTGAACGGTGGCCGCAAGCTCCGCCCCTTCCACCCAGGCTCCGCCCCATGGGAGCCACGCCCCCTTCCTGGCCCAAGTCTCCCAGGTCCTGGAACATGGGGAAGGCGCACACTTGGGAGAAGCAATATTCCGCCCCCTATATGCCTACTGCAGGCGTTCTGGGGGCGGAGTCTGGCCGGGGCCTGGCTGGAGGCTTGGCATACCTCCTGCCTAGCATAACCGTGGCCCTGGAACTAGGACAGATCGGAAGGGACATGTAGGAGAAGGTCCCGCTGCTGGATGGGGGGGGCAGGAGAAATAGGAAGCTCCAGAGCTTGGAAGGGAAACCATGATGCCTGGAGTCTCGCCATTTTCTGCTGGCTGCCAGTAGGTGTCCACGGATACTTGCCAAGTGCCACATCCCCCTCTACGTGGACAACAACCTACTACTGCTGTCGGTTACTCTTTCAGCTCAAACAGCGGAGGTCTGTGCTGTGGCTCTGATGGCTTCAACCCTGGGGGGCAGTACAGGGCATCCAAGTGGAGTGTGGTTTCCTAGATGGCTTTTTATATGGAAGCCTAGAAAACTGCCCACACCAACCTGTGATAAAAGGCCATTACGAAGGCTACAGATTCAAGCGCTCAAAAGATAGGAAGGACTAGAATTACGTTTGCCTTCAGCCCCCTTGTGCATGTAGACTGTGACATGGTCTTTACATACATGACCATGTACTATATCTTCTACAGGACCTGGCCTCCTTCCATTGGGTTATGCAGTGAATGAGACTGTTGTCTATAGGATCCCTGCCTCATTTAGTGCAGTGAATGAGGCAGGGTACTGCAAGAAGAGAAAAGATGATCTCATGGTCAAGGCCGCTGAATGCTGGCCAGGAGAATTAGAGTCCACCCCAGCCTCTGCCACTGTTTCCCTGTGTATTACTGGGCATGTCACTTATACCACATTTGTCACCGGTGGTCACAAAATTGTCTCTCTCTCATTTTCTAGGTGACTGACTTGGGCTATCTGGGGGTCTGGTTTGCCAAAGCAGCTCAAGTCAACCCAGCGCTATGTAATGCTAAGTATTCCGAAAAATGAGGTCCTCAAATTGGGCATCCCAAATTCAGGGATACCCTTAATCTCACTGAGCTTCAGTTCCCCAACTCCAGACTAGCTCCCCCCACCTCACAGAGGTGCGATGAAAATACATTCATTAGCGCCCAGGACACCGCTATCAGGGCACGGCTACACAGCAAGGCTAAAGCCGAAATAACGCTACGCAACTTCAGCTACGTCAATTGCGTCGCGTAAGTCGAAATGACTGAATTCGGCTTTTGGCGCTGTCTGCACGGCAGGAAGTCCCAGTTAGAGCCCTCTTCCTCCGACTTTCCTTACTCCTCGTGAAATGAGGGCGACAGGAGTCGGAGTAAGACGTCCTCCAGCTCACTATTATTTCGACATTATGTTGAGATAACTGTTTGTAGTGTAGACGCGGACTATGTTATTTCAGCCGTATAAATGTGCCCTTACAGAAAAAAATGAAATGGCCCAGTGGCACTATAGGGTGTGTCTAAACTGCACCCTTACCTCAAAAAAAGCTACGCAATTCGCACTACTCAAATTGCATTGCTTATGTCGAGATCATTTCAAAAAAGCTTATTTCGAAATTAGGTGCCGGCTACACAGCATCAAATTTTGAAACAGAGTTCTATTCCGAAACTTCTCTTACGCCTAGTGGAACGAAGTTTACAGGGACATCGGACTAGCGAGCCCGTTATATTTTGAAATAACGGGCTTGCTCAAAAGATGCGGAATAGCTATTTCGGGATACTTCTGGTATCCCGAAATAGCTCTGCAGTGAAGACGTAGCCTAAGAGTATATAGAATCATGAGTTCTAACCAAAGTATATAGAATCATGAGTTTTCATGGGCAAAACCCACTTCCTCAGATGAGCTGGAGTGGAAATAACAGAATCCAGGAGACCTATATAAGAACATAAGAATGGCCACACTGGGTCAGACCAAAGGTCCATCTAACCCAGTATCCTGTCTCCCAACAGTGGCCAATGCCGGGTGTCCTAGACAGAATGAATCAAACAGGTAATGATCAAGCGATCTCTCTCCTGCCATCCATCTCCACCCTCTGACAAACAGAGGCTAGGGACACCATTCCTTACCCATCCTGGCTAATAGCCATTTATGGACTTAACCTCCATGAATGTATCTAGTTCTCTTTTAAACCCTGTTATAGTCCTAGCCTTCACAAGCTCCTCAGGCAAGGAGTTCCACAGGTTGACTGTGCTGTGTGGAGAAGAACAGCAGAAGAAGTACCTGTCCATTGTAGGACCCCTGTTAATGAGGCTAATTAAGGGGGCTGGATGTGTCCCAGCCATAGCTTCGGATGTGGAAATGCAGATGTCAACGGCAGGAGAAATTAGTGTGTGCCAGCCACAAGCCCAGGAGGAAATGTGTCATTGGGTCTGCAGCGCAGGGCTTGCATAGCACGCAGCGAACAAAGCCCCGGCCTGCAGTTGGAATGACGAATCAAAACCAAAATGTGCAGCGTGTTCGCTGCGCGCCGTCCGCCCAGCGTGCTGCATGAACGAGGCACGGACGCTGTGGGGAGAGCAGCAGGTCATCCACAAATTTTCAATGCGTCATGCGGGTGCATGAGCCGCCTCGGCATGGCATTTGCGAATGCGGAAGTGATCGCCTTTGCCAGCGTGAGGGGGTTTTGTGCGTGCAGCAGCGCCGTGAGGGTCCCAGTCCGGATTGGGCTCCCCTATTGAGCCGGGCAATGCCCATAAAAGTGGAAGACAGGAATAGCTTCAGTCCCCTTTTTGTGAATTGTTTCGCCACTGATCTCCGCTGGCCTGGGACACAGGCATCATGATGGGTCAAATACTGCTTCCGGGTCATGACTGGGCAAGAGTCGAAAGCAATTTTAACATCCTTGCTGCAGGAACATTTGCAGCTGTCATCGGTGGCCGTTCACGGCAGGTGGGGTCGCCCCGACATTGACAGAAGATGGCTACAAAAAGGAACGAGCGACAGATTTCCCGATTTGTTAAAAGATCCAAGCCACCACGGGTGGAAAATTTCCTGCACTATTCACCTACCTCTCAGGGGTTGTCCATGGAAGATTTTTTCCCTAGTTATCCTAGAATGGCTCCAGTCCTGGAGCTCTACTGATCTAACACCCCATGTAGACGTCTATTCTGGGATAAGGCTGGTTTTTCAGGGAAGGAGCTTAGCTTAAACCTCTTGCAAAGCAACAAACTAGGACACAGACATAAGGCCATCTGATAAAGAAGAGCATCCACATGGGGCATCCTGTTTCATTTCACTCCCAGAGGCATAAGGCCATCTGATAAAGAAGAGCATCCGCACGGGGCATTCTGTTTCATTTCACTCCCAACTGGATACAGATATTTCTCTCATGGCTCAGTCCTAAGTGACTTTGATTTAGCACTGGGTGGCTATTTTGGAGAAATCAACCACCACCTGCATTGAGCTAGGCAGAGAAATAGATACCTATCTCATAAAAATGGAAGGGATCTTGAGAGGTCATCAAGTCCAGTCCCCTGCCATCATGGCAGGACCAAGTACCATCCCTGACAGATTCACCCCAGACCCCTAAGTGGCCCCAAAGGATTGAACTCACAACCCTGGGTTTCACAGGCCAATGCTCAAGCCACTGAGCTACCCCTCCCCCCTGGGAGTGATTTGGGCAACTGTGCAGGTTTTTTATTGTTGTCAAATAAAAGCGTTTTAGTTTTGCATCCCAACCTGCAAGTTATTTGGCTGTCCAAAGGGGAAGCGGATGACCCGCAGAGATGGAAAATTTCATGGAATAAAAAAAAAAGTTTTAGCCCTGCCCTCCTACGGTTCAGAGGGGAGACGTGGTTTTGCAAACGCTAAGGTCTTATCTGCCGCTGCCCAGCGCCGTTTGCAGACACTCCTATCTATCAGTGCAAAGTGGGAGTAAAATGCTGTCGTAGGCAATAGAGTAAACAGTAGTAAAATTCCACCTTCTCCACATTATAAAGCAGGAATTTCATTTCCATAGTCCAAGAAGATGATAAGGATTGACTAGCTGCCAGAGCCCTAGAGTAAAAGGTATGAATGAAATTCCGGGAGGGGGGAGAGTATAGTACTCTTTCGACCTCATTTGAATAAAATAAATTATAATAATCAGACTCTCTCCGGTGTCCTCTCCCTTTGCAACACCCCTGTGAGCGAGCTCAGCGTCGTGACCTCTTTATGACAGAAGAGGACACAGAGGCATGGGCGGATTGAGTGACTGGCCCAAGGTCACACAGCGGATCGGTGTCAGGGCCAGGAATAGCTCCTGATCTCCCAGCCTCATCCCTTCACTGCACGTCACCAGGATAAGACGAGAGCAAAATATACTAAGCCCTGGGCTGTCATCGGACAGTGAATTTGGGGTCTGTTATTGCCTGAGCAGTTGGACGGAACTTCTCCTGGATGACAGGTTGGCATCAAGGTCTCCGATTTGACCTGGGGTGCCCATGGTAGGCTCTGTCCTGGGAAACACGCAAGCTCATTGGTCTGGGACAGGATTTTACCCTTCTTGTTCTCCCCCCCCCCCTTCTGACTGCCCCAGCCAGGGGTGAGGGTGGGTGGGGGTTTAGCCCAAGACCAGCGTTCCCTGTTGGCCAGAGATTCTCAGAGTGTGGTCCATGGCCCCCTTACAGGTGGTCTGTGGTTCTAGCTGGGTGCCCCCTCTTTCCCCGCCACCCCAAGCAGCGGGGAGCCCGCGCTGTCTCTCCAGCCTTGCAGTTGCCGCTGGAACAGCGGCTCCGACTTCCTGCTGGGAGGCCATGGGGGTGGCGGCCAGAGCCTGCTCCTGGATGGAGGCAGAGCAAGCGGCCAGCTCTGGCAGGGAAGATCGGGGCTTTCTTTGCCTTCTCCCCACCCCCACCTTATGCATCCTCCGAGCAGGAAGCCGGAGCTGGAGCTCTGGCCTTGGGGTTGCACTGGAGGAAGGCCACGCAGTGACCCATTGGAGGCTTTCGCTGCTGCTCCCATTGGCCAGCCAATGGGAGCACTGGGAGGCGGAGCTTGGGAGCAACAGGGGGCACCAAGACAGGTAAGGGCCTCCCTCCCATCCTTTTCACTCCCCCGCCAAGATCCTGCATCCCCAGCTCGCTCCTACACACTCTTGCTCCTGCACCCTCCCTCCTGGCCAGACTCCTACCCCCAGTCTGCTCCTGCACCCAGCTCCCTAGCCAGACTCTGCACCCTGCCTTGCTCCTGCACCCTCCCTCCTGGCCAGACTCCTACCCCCAGTCCGCTCCTGCACCCCGCTTCCTGGCCAGACTCTGCATCCTGCCTTGCTTCTGCACCCTCCCTCCTGGCCAGACTCCTACCCCCAGTCCGCTCCTGCATCCCCCTTTGCTTTGGTTTATGTTACTTCATTTTAAAGAATGAAAGTTTGATAAAGTTCAAACACCTAATCTGTTTAATAATTGACGTGAAGCCATTCTCCCCAGGTGCAGCACTAGCAAACTGGCTTGGGCGTAATTATGTCATTAACGGTGAGTTTCCACTAGCAACTGGTGGGCCTCAGAAAGGTTTGCATTGAGCCAGGTGGGCCGTGAGCAAAAAAGTTTGAGAACCACAGATGTAAGCTGTGCACTTGGGCAGCCTCCCAGGAAAGATCCAATTGCCACCCAGCTAATTAGCAAAGCCACCACAGCTGGCAGCCTGGTGGTGCACATCTGCCCATGCATT